AAAAAAATCTTGTTTGTTTTGTATGTTGCGTCTATAATTAATACATCTTTAGCTATTGCAAACTCAAAGACTGCACTTCGATAAGCCCAGAAAATTGCTTGTATAAATGAACCATCCTGATCACATTCATCATTGTATGCAGGTTTAGTTGCTATGCCTAACATAATATTTTCATCATTTTGCAAAGTCTTGAGAAACAACTCAATTTCATTTAGTCCTTGCAACTTTCATTGATGTTCATGACTAATAGCATTATAGATATCATATTTATGTACGTACTTTGAGCTAATTGAGGTTAAAATAGCATATATGTCTTTAATTCGTAGTCCATTATTATGAAGCTCTCTAATCATGCCTAGTTCATTCAGATCAAATTTACGCATATTACTGCTAAACTTTCTGGCATCCGGATTAACTTCATGATTATGCTCTAAGCATAATTTTGTTATAGCAAACTTTTTTTCATGTTTGCTATAATTTATTCTAGCAACAAATGAGCAACCTATTTGCTTAGTGATGTATTTTTCTTTTTTACCATTATACTGCTCCTGTTTTTGCACATGCAAAAAAAAACTTGTCTATAACCACTACCATCTTTATTTTTAGTTGTTTTCGCCAAGAATATAACGGTATTGGTATGTGCAGCATAGTTTTCTATAAATGCACGGGCTTTTTCAAAAGTGGAAAAAACAGACCCTTTTTTAGGAATTGCAATGGTATTAGGATTCATATGAAAAGCTAAAAAAATCAACAGAAATAAATATAAAGTGGGTGAAAAAACAGTAAGTAAGTAATTAGAATAATATATTGCGATAAAGGCTAACGAATGATAATTATTAATGAAAAAAGATATAAAAATAATATGAATAGGCAAACAAGTGTAGTAAGTAAGATGCCGAAAAATGAAAGACCAATATGAATATAAGATTAACGAAGTTTATAAGTGTACTAACGAAATACCAAAGTGTAAGAATATAATGAAAATAGTTAAAATAATGTAAATAGATAAGCAAGTGTAGTAAGTAAGGCAACGAAAATTGTAAGATCAATGATGAAGTGTGTCAATGAAATTAAATAAGTGAATAGATAAACACGATGTTTAAAAAAAAGAGTATAAAAATAATATGATTGGGATGAAAAGTGAAAAAAGTGAA